AAATCATGAAGTGAACTTGACTTATAAATTGTGAAACACATTTTCCGTAATGCATCTCAGTTCTAGAATATCATTGCAACAAAATAAAAGATTTACATATGTATATTCTAGGGCAGAAATAGAACAGCAGTTTGGAAATATTTAAAGCACTAAGGGAGAAGCCACCATTAGTGCTCAATGCCTTGAGGAAGAAACCTCCAAGATAGACATATGTCTCAAGTGGCAAGTAAATCTTTACTGGGTTTTTTTTCCCTTTAGTCAGCATATATTCTCTTTGCTAAAGCTACTTGAGTGCCCAACAGATCAAGGAGAGCACTGTCATGATTATTTTACCTATGGGAAGCAGAGAAAATAATAACTAAATAACTGAAAATAATGACTGAAATAAATCTAGCTCATGGGATTACAGTTTATATTTTCCAGTATCCAAAAATCATTTGTCTAAGTGTAGTTTCCACATTAATTTAAATCTCAGATACATTATGCATTTAAAGTATTTTCCAATACTGAATTAAAAGCATATAATAACACAACAAAGTGTAAGCATGGTAAATAATCCTTAGTGCAAAACTGAATAGGCAACTAATAGGTCATTAAGGATTAATAGGAATTGAGTCTCATCTAGAGATGATTTTTTTGATAATTTTAAAGCCATGTTGCTAATATATTAGCATTAAAATGTAATGATTCAGAGAACAAAGTCCTAATAATATTAAGATGCTGAACCTATACAAGTTGCACATCCACAACTTAGATCTCTATATAGACTTAAGAAAGAATTGAGAGAAATGAAGTTAATTGGTTTTGGAAAACAAAATGGATAGATTTGTAGCAGATCTTCTCACTTAACCATTATAAGTCATCTCAGGGTGAGATGATACTATTTTATAATATACCTAGAATCTCTTTAATCTTACTATATACTGTAATTCAGATGGAACCCTGGGAGCTACAAAAAAAACACACCTGATTATCTTGCTCAGGCAAAGTCAACACATTGTCCCAAACTTTCCTGATTACTTGCTTGCACTGACAAGGCAGAGAACACAACTCTGGAGTGAATTTTGACAATGCTCCTGTTTTGCCCACACAAAACTCATTTCATGTTTTGCTGAGAGTTTGTTCAGAGAAAATGGGGAACAAAACCTGGAACACCACTTGGGAGGTGGTGAGATTTCAGTGTGTGGCATCTGTCAAGCTACACAGTGATTGGTGGATAGGTTAGCAGTGGTTGGTGATTTCTGGTGTGGCATATAAATCTTATATGTCCAAATCTTTTATAGAGTATCTGTAGAGGTGTATGTATTAGTGAAATTCAATATTTCATCAATTATTTTAAATTTCTAGCTGTTTAAAATGGAAAAGGTTTTATTTCATGATAAGACAAAAGCCTAAGATACATAACAACTTTGTATCTTAATAAACAATTTCTTGCCCAAACCTAATCCTGTTCATTTCATTCTGAGATGCTTTGCCAAATTCATTTGTCATTTTACGGGTGTCATGATATCACAAGTTTGAGGATTCCTACTCTAAGAAATGGACCCCCAACATTGCAATAGAACTGTTACTTGCTGCATTGATTAAATAATTGTTACGTTGTATCTCTGTTAACTGCAAAACAAGATTCAGCCTAGAACGGACATGTTTTCAGAAATCTTAGAATATTGCTCACTTTCCTTTCAGCACTCAGAAATATCCTTGTGGTAGCAAGAACTTCTGCTAGTATCTCTTTTCTATAATTGATACTCAAGCAATGAACTCCGTAGGAAATGTACCCAAAGGCAAAGCTGTCCAATCTTCTTGCTGTGCCCCTTACGAGAGGACAAAAAAATAATTAGCATTCTTCTTTTCTCCAATGATTATCAATGCTTGACAAATAAATTAAGAACAAGTATCAGGAAATTTCTGAACAGTACAAGCTGACAACTTTGTTGTGGATTCTCCTTTTTTTAAAATGAATATCAAATCACCTGTCAGAAAACTGTTAAGACATGTATGGAAGAGGATGATTCGGTGACACTAGTCTTACTAGTTCCTTCATACTTCATGAGTCTTAATTTCCAGCCATAGTAGTACTATAACCCCTTCCTTCTTATAACTCATAATATTTTATCTTACGGCACCTAAAAAATTTATGCAGGGGGGGAGAAGATAAGAATTCCTGCAATCAACTACAATGGCTTGGTGTAACTGCCAAGCACCTAAATTTTGTTCACATGACCGCGGAGGTGTGCGGTGGCCATAAACTCAGACAGGAGTCATAAGTCCCTTTGTTCAGCACTGTCGTAATTTCATTAATTGAACAAATGGTTGTAAGTCAAGGACTACCTGCATTTTCTCAAATGCAGATAGATGGCCTCCAAGGTCCCTTCCAACTTTATTATTATTATTATTATTATTATTATTATTATTATTATTATTATTATTATTATTATTATTATTATATATTTTATTTCTTGTAATAACCGTCACTGTTAAATAAGAAGGAAGGAACTTGGGACTGCAGGATCTTTCATATAGAAGCACAGAGAACAAAAAGAGGAGAAAAGTGACTTTTGCTTAGGTTCACTCTGACATGAGCCAGAGACAGTTTTATAAAATAGGTCAGGGGTAGGCAACCTTGCCTCTTTTATGACTCGTGGACTTCAACTCCCAGAATTCCTGAGCCAGCTATGCGAGTCATAAAAGAGCCAAGGTCGCCTACCCCTGATATAGGTATTTAATTTAAATGGGACAAACTTGTGAACTATATAAGCATAGACATCTCTTGTTTTGTCACAACCAATTGAACAAATCTCATTTATCTTGAATCTAGTTAACATGAATTTAGTGCTTTTTGGTTTCTTTCAGTATTTTCAAACATCATTAGACTTAACAGTTTTTCATCAGTTGATATATGTACTGAATGATCATTCTTCTGGCTTGTAAAAACAGATGGGAATTCCATAATGCTAAGAAAATAAAATATACCATAATATGTGGTTTATAGTATATTCTACAACTAATTAGTTGTTTCTAAGCCTTTGGGGTGCTGTGCTAGTTTTTGTCGTGTTTTTTTTATAATCGTAATGTTTATTGAAGCTCTCAGGATATAGTATGTAAGATGAGTGGCTATAAAAGTCACTTCCATTTGTTTTGTTTTTTTAATAAATATCAGCCAATTGCTTTTTTTCCCTTTGAGTTCTTAATATTTAAAGTGTATCATATTAAGAACTTACTTCATTATTACAAAGGTTCAAATTGATTCTATGAATGTCACATCCTTAAGATGTCACCTGTTGAAAATTCAGCTTTGTCTCACCTTTTCTTTGGTAGCATCTATTAAATTTTAACTGACCAACATAGGGAGTTAACCTTCTCAATTCTGGCCACGGATTGCATAAAAATCATGTTTGCCTTGTTTTAATATATATTTCTTAATATTCCTTCCTTGAAATTCTCTTCCAGAAAGAAATTATGCTCACCTAAAGACCTGCTGAGTATTTAACTTCAGCCCTGCTTTATTTGTTACTTGTTACTTGAAAATGTTTAGTAAGACACATGACTGTTTAAGATGAAATACCTTGCATCAATAGATACAATATTTTTTGACTGAAATACATTAAAGGCAGTCCTCAACTTACTATCATGTTTTCAGCAACGGTTCAGCCTTATGATGGTGCTGAATATGACTGGTCCTCTTGAGTTCTTGCCATTGCAACATTCCCGTGGTCACGTGATTGCTACCTGGGTGCTTGGCAACTGGCTCACGTTTGCAGTTTGTTGCAGTCCTCTGCAATCGTGTGGTTGCCATTCATGGCCTTCCCTGTCAGCTTCCCTAGAAAGTCAATGGGAAAGCTGGCAGGGAAGGTCACAGTTTGTGGTAATAAGTTTCCCCCCTCCCTGAGCCTCTCTGCGCTTTTCTCTCACCCTGGTGCAACTTCCCCAGCCATCGGTCCACTTCCTCAAACCCTTGTGCACCCTCCTCAATTCTCACTACATCTCCCTTGCATCCCCTCTCACACTCTCCCTGAGCCTTGTGGTGACTCCCTCACACCATCCTCAACCCTCACCCACTTCCTCGCACTTTCCTCCACCCAGCAATTTAGGTGCCTGCCAGCCTGCTGGGTCTTGCAACTTCCTGCCAGTTTCTCCATTAACTAGGTTGTGGGACGCCAGCAGGAAGTTGTCTTGCCTAACAACTGCATTGCTTAGCAACAGGAGTTCCGATTTCAAGTGTTATAATAAGTCGAGGACTACCTGTATACTTTTTAGATGGTACTGTAATTTCTAATAATAACAACAATAATAATAGCAACAACAACAACAACAACAACATAATAATAATAATAATAATAATAATAATAATAATAATAATAATAATAATAATAATAATAATAATAATAATAATAATAATAATAATAATAATAATAATAAAAAAGTTGGAAGGGACTTGGAGGTCATCTAGTCCAACCCCCTGCTCAGGCAGGAAAACCTACACCATTTCAGACAAATGGCTGTCCAGTATCCTGCAACACTGTGAAATGTGACCTTTTTTTTCTCTTTATATATAAATCAGAGCCTGATATACTCAAGCTTTCAGTGACAGGCCGCCACTTAAAATACATACATTTTCTGTAATTGGTAATACTGTGCCTATTCATATTTTCTGAATATAATACTTTTATGAAGCTAAAAGCAAATTAAAATAACATGTGCATGTGAGCAAGGCTTGAAATTAACATACTATATGCTCTAACAGCACTAGTGTACAAAGGTGTGTTTGTACTTCTTTGCTTCATTGTCTACAACTTGCCGTTGATAAACTACCCTTTTCCCCAAAGAATAACATATACACTGTAGTAGTAGAAAATACTTATAATTCTGAAGAGACTGGAGGATAAAAGTTGCCTGCTATATGTTGTGTCTAAAAAAATTTCAAGCAATTCATGAAGTGTAACATTGGTTTAATTTAAAAAATGTGTTATTTAATCAATTTTCTCCCCTTTCTTCTAAAGGTGCTCTTACAGAGTGCTACGATGAACTGGGAAACAGATACCAGCTTCCTGTCTACTGCCTTGCTCCACCCATCAACATGATAGAAGAGAAGGGTGATCTAGAGACTCTGGATTTTCCGGATCCGCCGCCTAACTCCGGTCATGAATGCCAGCTTCGTTTACGCCTCTCAACAGGCAAAGACCTCAAACTTGTGGTCCGCAGTATGGACACTGTGTATCACATGAAGAGACGACTTCACACAGTGGAAGGGGTAGAACCTAGAAGTCAGCGATGGTTTTTTTCAGGCCGGCCACTCGCAGACAAAATGAAACTGGAGGAACTGAAAATACCAAGGGATTATGTGGTGCAAGTAATTGTGAGCCAGCCCTTAACAAATCCTGTCTTGGTGGAGAACTGATTTTTGCCTATATGCCTCTTCTTCCCTTTCCCTGCTCTTTGATCATGTGGGAACTTTTTCACTTTCCATCCTCTCCTACAAATGGTTTGGTTCCAAGCAATGACCAGCAAACCCTCCATCTGTGATGGAATTTAGGTAAAAACACACATAATCAAATATACGCACACACAAATCTATGTATAAACACACAGTCCCTGTTTCTAAACTATACTTGGGGGTTTTGTTCAATTTAGTATTTCTTGACACCACTCTTAGCAAAGTAAATGGAAAAATGTTTGTGATAGAGTGAGACTGAAATTCAAGGTAGATAAAGCTGAAACTAAGCTTTGAACTGTAAGTGATGTATTGATCCATGAAGGTGAAAAGCACTTTTTTAAAGGATTAAACCAAATTGAACTGTTTCATGAAATCAGTGTCACTTATAGTTCAGCTGATCATTGTAGCTCCCCTGGTTAATCTAGCATGCTGTGATATTTGTAGGGGTTGTTTCTATTAGGGTTTTATTTACTGGCTCAGTAAGACTCCTGCTTAATAATGAGTAGCAAAGAACTAGAGGTACACTCCAATAATGGTATGTTCTCAATTTCAGGTTTTACTAAATGTTTTGGTACATTCCGATTTAGCAACAAATAGCAATTTGCTAGGGCTGACTTCAGGGTGTATAAATCCTGCCTTCTGAAAAATTAGGCAATAATTTATTAAATACATGAATTTCTTGTCTACTGTAAGCTGTCCACTATAAGGAAACTTGCCGTACAAATCCCTGTCACCAATAAAAGGGCCTACTAAATGTGCACTATTGTGATTGGTGAAACATCAAACATTCAAAGTACACCAGCTTGAGAAAATAAAGGCACAGGACATCTTTTATTTAATATGTTCACCTCTGATGTTTAAAATAATAGTTTTGAACCTTCTTTATCAAAAATAGCAATGAACTAATTAGGAAAAAGCACAAGCTGGTTTCATACACTTTTCTAATAAGAGTTCGGCTTGCTTGATAGCATTTTTACCCACTGATATTTGTATTTTCTTGCTATAATCAAGACTGAGGTTTTTATTCCTACTCAAATTAAATATACATATGTATGTACACACACACATGCATACACTGCCATTGTACACAGAATGAGAGAAAGTGATGCAAAAGGATTTGAAAAAAAAAGCCTCACTAGCAGGTGAAAATATTATAGACTGTATAACACTAGATCTTTCAAATATTCCATTAGACCCATAAGTACATTTTGGGGGATTCTGCATTGCATGTATATTTATGTTTTCCCTGAATCCATAAATAAGTTGTAGAGATGGAAGCTTGCATTAAGACTGGATTCATTTAGTTTGTAAAAGCAGCATATATACCCCATAAACTTTTAAATAAGAGAGCATCTTTCAAATGCTCTTATCTTCCATCACACCTGTTCATACTTATGCATTTAACAGTGTATAAACAGTGCCTGTGGCAAATAGATTATAACTTTCTATAGTCGATAGATTTTAAATGACGTCATTTATCTAGAGTTCAATGTGAATCTTAGCAATATCATACAGGATTTTCCCTTTAGAATCTGAAGGTAAGACATTCTTTAGAGGCGTTAGGTACAGTATATATCCTTTTAAGAGTGCTTTGAGCAAAATTAGTAATGATTCTCTCTAGAATAATAAAATAAATTTGGAGAATGGCACTGGCCAGGTATATCAGAACAGTTAGCATACTCATCAAATATGTTATTTTAAAATGGGGCATGACATGCTCCTTGATTCTGACATGGTCCTGTGCTTGGTAGTAAGGTCATCATCTCTGACACCACTTTTGCTGGCTAAATACCAAATCTGATTTATCTTTATGCACATGGACCTTACAGTTACAAAACTTCTAGTTTTGATTAAGTTGATCTTTTTTTAAAAGATACAATGTGAACTATCCCGTTTTTTTAAAATTTGGAAATAAGTTTTTATATTTACATGAATGTATCATGCATCAGAACTATAGAACTCTTCTGGCCATTGTCTATTACTGTCTGATATTTCTATGTAGATTAGGGTCAGTTAGTAATTAAAATGTTTTCATAGAAATATTCAGTAAACAGTAACGGTTTTCAAAATGTTGATTAAGTTTCCCATTTCCTGAAACTAATATTAAGAGCTCAACAATCATTGAATGAATTCAAAATTTTGCATATCACTAGGAATACTTTTTAATATTGTGACTAAATGAAGTAAGGTCTGGATATGCTTTAAGTGAAATTTAAATATCTACAATGTTAGAATTTTCATTTATTTGGGCAGTGCTTGGATAAGGTATATGCACAACCTTTTGTGCAAGTTACGGGATTACACACCAGGAAAACTATGACAAAATTTATTATTTAGCACTTTTTCCCCCCAGGACTATTTAGAAAAGGGAGAAAAATTTCAGCTATTAAGGAAAAAGTGAAAGCATATATAGTCTGATGATTTTTGTAACTATTTCCCTTTTTTATGTATTCACCCAGTTCATCGAATTAAGTTTGATTGTCCCTCAGTGAATTATATTTACAGTAGTACTGCTGCCTCAAATATGGAGATAGGGACGGTGGAATCAGCACAAATGAAGTGAGCACCAGCTCCTTCCTATCATTGGCAATCACTCAACTCTGTAGGAAAAATATGACAGGCAAATCTATCCAGTATGAGCATTGTCAATTAATAAGTAAATCAAAAGAGCAAAGAACAGCCACTGCTTCCTTTCCTTTTTCTCTTCATTGAGACTAGAGAGTTGTCCTGTTGTTCAGAGAAGGAAGTTGATGCTTTTCAGTGTTGATGCATCAGCATTCAGTTGTGGATCCTCAACAGCTGCCCAAGAATGCTGGCCAACATGATTATAGGCTTTTTAGAATTACTCTAATAATTTTGTAAAAAAAACAATAACATTTGGAATATAGCTGGCTGTAAAGTGTTCATCAGTAACCATACTGTTCTGAAGTAACAACCACCAGAATACATTAGAATAGTTTCTGTATTGCTCACAGCCCCTAGTGGGCTTTCATGAACAGAATGCACATTGGGACAATTTTTTAATGCTCTTTTTCATTTTTCTCTAACATGTTTATAAATCAGCATGGAAGACACATTGCAGGACGTTCCCTGAAAAAATGAAGGATACTGCTCTTACAATTAGAATAGAATATTTTGGAGGAAAAAATGAATTATCCATAAAGTTAGAATTCGGTTAACACCAACAAAAGGTCCATTTGGGGCAAGTGCATGATAATTTAGTTAACTTCTTTTGCACTGATATAAGAGCTTCTATTCACAAATAAGGGATATTTAATATCTGGTTTAATTCATAAGTATCATGAATAATTTTTACCTTGAATACAAATTGTTTCTCAGAACAAAGGAAGAGTCTGGTGAGTGTATTATTTCTTTCTTTTTCTGCTCCAGAGAAGTTATTTTAAAGATTATAGTTTATAATATATCGTTACCACCCTCATCCAACTTTTAGTAAATAATAAGCTTACTATAGGTTTTTAATTTTGTTAATCTGCAAGACAGAACAATTTCATTTGTTGCTTTAACAGAAGTTCAAGCAAGCACTGTATTAAACTGTATTTGTGTGTAGTCCGGATTCTGATTCGCTGCCAGCTCAGTGTCTACAAAATGTGCCTCCCTCTCCACTCCTATGTAAGAAAGTATACATTATAACAATATAATATTTGGCCGAGTTATCAAAAGCAAACAACCATTTTCCTAATAGCCATATCAAATTCCCACAACATTTCTAATTAACATTTTTTGCTGTTGAATTAGAGCTACAAATATATCCAATAATAAGTCTGTTTGTCCCCTTGTCTGGCAAAGGTGTCAGTACTATATGCTTCAGAATTAATGGATAGTCTATAATTTGTTTTTCCTGGAATAGTTTGAAAGACAAAAGGGCTTGTACTGCATTGTGTGTACAAAAACATAGCAACAAGTTAATATAAGACAGACAATGGTCACTGTGCTTCATTTATGCTGCAGAAAAGGTTGTCAAGAAGATTAAGGAAATAGTCATATAAAAATGATTATAATTCTCTCATCTGTAAAGAGATGTTCAAGAAATAATCTGATAAGAAAAATAGAGTAATATACTGTGTTTTAAAAGTAAATTGATGGGTAAATCCCTCAGTTTTATTAATAGTATGGTTTCACAATTCATTCCTCATAAATCATTAGGATTTATACTTAGATGGTAAAAGCAATATATTTAGTTGGGAGATTATGTTTGTTTGATAACATATGATATAAACAACTGACAAGGTGCAGAAAAGATCTTACGTAAGTGCTTTCATTCCTTAAACGTTCAAACCCAAAGATAAGATTAATGTAACAGATGTGAACAAGTACACATGTAGGTACAATGAAAGCATTGGCATTCTAGTGCTGAGATTTTTCTTGTTTCATTTTGAATGTTATAATCATGTACATCACTTGAAATTCTTTGGGTTCTAACACAAAAAGTAATATTTATTTCATTTTTACATGATCATGCATTCTTAGGTAGTGTTTGCTTATGATTATATGGAGCTTTCCTTGAAGTGCAGTTTCTTCATCAATCTAGCAATGTACTTCACTTGCAAATGCCTCCCAAGTGTGCTTTTAAAAATCCATTTCAATCAAACAAAATGTAAATAGCAGAAAGAAATGCTGTGTATGGGAGATACAGGAATGAACCATTCTACATTTTCAACATTTTACTCAAAGCAACAGAATATTAAACTAATGCTAGCAATTTCTATTGGTTGGCATCCATGTTCCCAAGTTTAGTTGGCTAATTTTTTAAAAAATGATGTAGTCATGAAGTATTCTTTCTTTAATTCAGCTCTTTTGTTTCCTTCCATCTCTTCCATCTCATTTTGAGAGTGGAATATTTGAAGGCATATCAGTAAATGTATAGAACTAAAAAGTATAAAAGTGGGGGAGGGGTTTCCTTTGAGTTTGCTCCATAATTAAGTTTGAACAACAGTGATGGGTTTCATGCATTAGCAATCCATGA